TAGGCAGTGTGACTCCTAAATTGTAGTCACCCGTGATTACCAAGTGCAAGAGATTCCGCAGCCTGCGTCACTCACGGGAGACTGGTCCCCTCCTTCCATAAGATGATCCCAAGGTAGCAGCCTTAGAGATGACACAGGTCAGTGAGAGCGAGCTCTGGCTCAGAGCCGGTGCAGAATTGCCGGGCCTGGGATTTGGAAGGGCCATCTACTTCTATCTTTTCCTCACTTTCAAACCCTCCCCTCCTTGTTTAAGGGCTCATTAACTCTCTGGAGCTGGTTAGTCATTAACTCAGGTGAATTTTCCAAGGGCTGGAAAGGACAGCTGTGGCTGAACAGGCCCTTCCAGACTGCTTGCAAATGGTTTTGAAAGGAATTTTCACCTTTCAACCCAGGGAGGGCAACAAAGTAGACTGCATCTGGTTCCACCCCACTGACCTCTGCCCACCTGCTCCTGGTGCTCACATCCACCTCCCCAGTGTTTTTTCAGTTTGCTTCTTAGGCCTCTGTTCCTGCCTAAAAAGCACCACTTCTTCCTTTACTCCCTACTGTAAGACTAAGGACTTCAGTGTGGTGCACGGTGATAGATGTGAGTCTAATTTTAGTCTTCGGCTTGTGGAAAGCCAGTTTGTCCAGTACCATTTATTAAAGAGGCTACCTTTTTTCCTAAAACAGAAACACTAACTCTACTGGAGGAGGAAGTGGGTACAAATCTTGAAGACATAGGGGTATGCAGAGAGTTCATGAGCAAAACCTAAATTGCACAGGAGATACTTTAAAGAATCAACCACCAGGATCTCATCTTATTGAAAAGTTTTTACACATCCAAAGAAATCACCAACAGAGTAAAAAGAACACCAACCCCTGTGGAAATCAGTGTGGAGAGTCCTCAAAAAACTGGGTCTGGAGATCCCATTCAACCCAGCTTTCCAGAAAACATACTCAGCGATCTTTGTGCATTCGTGTTTATAACAGCACAATCTGTCACAGCTAAGTCTTGGAAACAACCCAAATGCCCATCAGCTGAGGAATGGCTAAGAAGGATGCGGTATTTTAATACAGTGAAATATCATTGAGGGGCCGGCAAGATAGCTCAGCAGACTGCAGTGCTGCTTGGGCAAGCTGGCAACCACAGGGACACCCGTGTCCCCCCGCCCCCAGGGAGGGCTGAGCTGACCAGAGTCCGGGCATGGTGGCGCACACCTGAAACCCCAGTGCTGGGGGTGCTGAAAGCAGGATCACAAGTCCAAGATGTGTAGTGAGACCCTGCAACGACCAAATACATTAAAAAAAGAAGACATATTACTCAGCTATAAAGAAAGATAAGCTCGAGGCTTTTTTTTTTTTTTCTCCTTTTATAGGTAAATGAATGCAACTAGAGCTCATACTTATAAGTGAATAAATCAGGCCTAAGTGTGTAAACATCATATTGTCTTCCTAGTGTAAGGAACTAAAGGTACCGTAGATGCCTAGTGAAAGGGAAAGGAGTTGTTCAAAGGGAAGGAGCTGGGATGAGGGAAAGGAGAAAAGAAAGCAAGAAGAGAAAAAAATGCATATGTATATACACAGGATAGCTTGCATAATTCTACTGCTGATTTATCCTGGTATACTGAGAGGAACAGTTAATACTTCATCTTTTTTTCTTTTTAATTTTTTTGACCAATTTAGTATGCTCATATCTGATAATCTGAAGAACTAATTTGAAGACAGCAATATGCAATATAAGAACCATTCTTGAATTCCTGTTGTTTAGCAAAATTCTTTGTTCTTTCTAATTTTTTTTTAATTTTTTATTCTTTTTAAAAAAATAAAAACAGGGGCTGGGGAGATGGCTCAGTGGAATAAGCGCTTCCTTGGCAAGTG